TGCTGACTCCCCGCTTTTTTTAAATGTGTTTTTGGACGACAGCGGGGGTCTACGGCATTGCAGGTATTCTGGTATCTGTCATTATGCTGGAAAAAAACTATATTTTGTGAGCACGAGCATCACCGTTTTGTTTTGTTTCGTAGTGAACGCCGGCGAATGGAAAAAGATTCCTTAAGGAAGACTCACCAAAGGTTGGGCTTAGTTTAGACAGTCGGTAGTCGATAGTCGGTAAACTAAAACTAACAGACCGATTGAGATAGTTCGGACTAATAGAGGTCTTCTTTAACCACAAAACCTGAGGGCCGTTTGAGTACACACACAAGCACACACACGTATAAACAGACGCGCGCGAGTACACACATACACACACACACTGTGGCTTTAAGACAAAATGACTTTAAAGCCATTTGCTTGGATCTGTTCTGAGCACCTTACCCAAAGTAAAAAATAATAATGATATATATATATATATATATATATATATATATATCATTATTATATATATATATATATATATATATATATATATATATATATATATATATCATTATTATTTTTATTTATATATATATATATATAACCACCTGGGACTTGGGACTAGAGCTATGTGCTATTTACAACCCGGGCCTCCGCTGTCTCACAGCCAACACGCCTAAAATTTTAAGAAGAAGAAGAAGTAGTCCAGCTGCCATCGCAGATATGGTGCAGAGAGAGAGAGAGAGAGAGAGAGAGAGAGCGAGAGAGAGCCAAACATGGAGAAAGGACAGAAGAGTCCTCTATAGGGAAATACAGAACTATATCTCTACTGCCGTCACTATGAACACACAATCAATACAGCAATGCTGGCCATAAAGGAGGAGATAGGATGTCCTGACGCATGCTGTTAAACCATCTAGGGGTACTGGTAATAAAGACAGACAGACACACACACACACACACATCCACACACATTAACACTTGGCGATGTGACACATGGTACATGGCAAAATATATAGTTGTGTATGGTTATATAAAATGCAAACATAACGGACGCACACACGCACGCACGCGCGCACACACACACACACACACACACACACACACACACACGCACACACACACACACACACACACACACACACACACAGGGCTAGAGGATTTACCAATGACACCCCCCCCTCAGTCCCCACTTGGGACAATATGTTTACATTGTTAATACCCTGTGAGGTGTAAATACATGGGAGCATTACATTACTGTGTGTGTGTGCGTGTGTGTGTGTGTGTGTGTGTGTCCGCGTGTGTGTCCGTGTGTGTACTCCCAAGCTCTATTCTTACCCTATATTTGCTAATGCTCATGCTCATTCCTGTGTGGTGTGGTGTGACCCTTGATCCTTTGCAAATGAACAGGTGGGAACAAAATGTAAATTATCTCTCATTTCTGTCTTAAGGTGTGTGTGTGTGTGTGTGTGTGTGTGTGTGTGTGTGTGTGTGTGTGTGTGTGTGAGAGAGTTTAACTCCATTCCCCCTCCTACCCCTGCATGTCTCCTGAATTCAACAGACTGAGAGGAGATGAGAGGAGAGGAAAAGAGTGGAGAGGAGACAAGGGGTGAGGAGAGGATAGGAAAAGAGTGGAGAGGAGACAATGGGTGAGGAGAGGAGAGGAGAGGAAAAGAGAGGAGAGGAGACAAGGGGTGAGGAGAGGAGAGGAAAAGAGAGGAGACAAGGGGTGAGGAGAGGAGAGGAAAATAGAGGAGAGGGGAGGAGACAAGGGGTAAGGAGAGGAGAGGAGACAAGGGGTGAGGAGATGAGAGGAGAGGAAAATAGAGGAGAGGGGAGGAGACAAGGGGTAAGGAGAGGAGAGGAGACAAGGGGTGAGGAGAGGAGAGCAGTGGAAACTCTGACTGGGTTCACCTGAGCTACGGGGTGCAGGTTGTCTCATTAACCTCCAGTTCTCCGGTTTCCCTCCCATTCATGTGAAACCCTGTCAGTCAAGACACACACACACACAACGGAGCATGAACGTGACTGTATCTCACACACACACACACACACAGGCACACACACAGGCACACATGCTCTCTCTTAAACACACACACACAAATAAATTATCTCTCTCACACACACACACACACACACACACACACACACACACACACAACGGAGCATGAACGTGACTGTATCTCACACACACACAGACACACACACACACAACGGAGCATGAACGTGACTGTATCTCACACACACACACACACACACACACACACACACACACACAGGCACATATGCTCTCTCTCACACACACACACACACACAAACAAATGCTATCTCTCACAACCCCCCCCCCCCCCCCCCTTCCATGTAAAGCTATCGGTTTCCTGGCGGCGTGCGGCGAGGAGGCTGTTTTTAAACATTCCATACGGCTGCATGGAACCGCCCCCCCCCCCCCCCCCCCCCCAACAACACAACGCCCCTGTCCAGGGCAACAGATCACATTACTCTTGTGTTTTCCAGTCCGCCATATTGTTCATTGACTTTGCAGTCCACCTTCACGGTGCCTCTATAGGTGCGTGTGGGTGGGGGAGGGGAGCGGGTCGGAAAACAGAGCGTTACTAATACATATAGGAACATGTAAGGCTACACGGCTCCAACACAGCATATCCATGTGGAAATGGAGCCGCCTCCTTCACCTTTGTCTTTCCGTTTAGGGTGAAGGACCCCACGCACACACACACACACACACACACAAACCCATCTGACATTTTTTTCGACTTTTCCTCCGAGATGAGCTTCTCAGTGTTTGTGTTGCCGTAAGGCAATCAGCCCGTTTCGGCACATTTCATTATTCTTTTAAACCAAATCGCAGTCATTGGCGCAGTACAGTTTAATTAATCTGCCATTATTTGCTAATCAAATGGAATCGAGGCAACATTTTCATTGAATCGAAAATGTTGCCTCATTACGCCTGCACCCGCACACCCGCAATATACACAGCATAATGAGCAGTTACAGACTTGTCGCAAGTATTTTTCCACTTTGCTCCCGTGGGTTACCTCAGACGACTTTAGGAATGGTTTGCTATGAAGTATGTGCTTTTTTGTACCGCGTCACATTCATGATGTTTCATGCATCACTCTGAAACACTGTTAAGGTACCGCATGGGCTCTGAACACAACAATTAAACCAAGGCCTTTATGGGATTTGACGTTAACGATGCAGAGCTTCACCGTTGTGTACGTTCGCCTCATCTCTAAGCGGTGGAGCCATGGCAACCTCACATTAGGCGTACAGCTCATGGGAATATTTCACAAGTGGACCGTAACCATTTTTGCGGATAAACAAAATGTCCACGGAGGCCGAGTGAAACACACCGACGCGTAGCGATAAACCCACGCCGTTCACGAACATGTACGGACAGCGATGCCCCTTGCGAGCGCCATTAGCGCGCCCGCACCGCAAGCAGAATGCTAATGCGCTACGTGGAGTCGCTGCGTTATTTCCTCTGATGTGCGGGGAGAGGAAGCGGTCGGGCTAATCGTGATCATTAATTATGTGCGCTACAGTGGCGCCTATACGGGCGGGCGCGGGGCGGGGTATGGCTCTGCATAAAGATCCAGGCGTCTACTCCACACAATGGGGCCCGAAACAAACCGGTCCCAGGACCAAGAGGGGGGGAGAGAGAGAGAGAGAGAGAGAGAGAGAGACATACCACCCCCCACTGTAGTGCCCAACGTAAAGTGGGCAACAAATCAAACGCTCACAAAACTAACACTGTTGAAGGATATTTCGACGGCGGGGGTCTCGGAAAACACTGTAACTCATCCGGTTTGAATTGCCGCCAGACGCAACGATATAAAAGCTTCTCACTAGACAAAGGGCAACGGAAAGGAATAATAATGAACGAGAGAGAAAAAACAGGATGGGAAGTATACGGCGAGAGAGAGAGAGAGACATAGACAGAGGGAGAGGGAGAGAAATTGACAAACAAAAGCGGAGGAGCTAAAGATTCTCACGTTGAAAAGGGTCGTAAAACACACACACACACACACATACACACACACACACACACACACATTAGACAGATTTACTAATATTGACCACTTCATCCTCTACTTCCTCCACTACAATCAATGCAATTCCGACCACAACACACATTTAATTAACATATATATACCAGCAAACACATTGAAGTAAACAGTGTGTGTGTTGTGTGTGTGTGTGTGTGTGTGTGTATGTTTGGGGGGTGGGGTGGGGGTGGGGGAAGGGGGGGTTCAACGATTCCCAAGCCCAGCGGCTAGAAGTTCAATGAGTGATGTACTGTCTGGGAACGGCTGTGTGTGTGTGTGTGTGTGTGTGAATTGAATTATGTAAAAGAGTGAGTTACGGTCAACGGATGGAAATAAACAAGGCCTTGTGATCTTTTATTCATCCCACAGCACTACAGACACCTCTGGCATCAGCCAGCAGCAGCAGCAACAACAACAACAACACCCACCACCTAACCTATCCTCCTGTGATTCAATGATTCAATGCACTGTTTACCTTTACTGCTTAATGCTAATGCTTAATGCTTAATGCTTACTGTTTAATGCTTACTGTTTAATGCTTAATGCACAGTAGGGGCTGGTAATTAGAGTGGATGCTGCTGGTGGAAGGTTGTGTTCACTTTTTGAAGATGTTGTTTAATCAATGAGTTGTTGTTTTTCTACTGCAGGGCCAGAAAGTGAGCGGTGAAGCACAGGTAAAGACTACTAAAGGTAGACCTGAATAAACATCATGACCTACTTTACATTTTAGGGCTGCCGCTTTTACCATACTATTTTGTTTCCGATGTGACTTGAATTTCGACAAGTAAAGGTCAGGGGGTTTGGAGGTCTACCTGGTAGGTTTCGGACACTGGGGATCGAACCCAGACCCTTGCGGTTCGAAGTCGAACAACCTACCACTGTCTGTCTGTCGGTCTCGTACACACACACACACACACCCGCACATTCATGTACACACACACACCCACAAGATCTACTTGGTAGGTTTCGGACACTGGGGATCGAACCCAGACCCTTGCGGTTAGAAGTCGAACAACCTACCACTGTCTGTCTGTCTGTCGGTCTCGCACACACACACACACACACACACACTCATGTACACACACACACACACACAAGGTCTACCTGGTAGGTTTCAGACACTGGGGATCGAACCCAGACTCTTGCGGTTAGGAGTCGAACAACCTACCACTGTCTGTCTGTCTGTCGGTCTCGCACACACACACACACACACACACACACACACACGCACACACACTCATGTACACACACACACACACACACACACAAGGTCTACCTGGTAGGTTTCAGACACTGGGGATCGAACCCAGACCCTTGCGGTTAGGAGTCGAACAACCTACCACTCTCTGTCTGTCAGTCTCGCGCACACACACACACACACACACACTCATGTACACACACGCACTCGTTCTCAAACACACACACACACACACACACCCTCTCGCACACACACACACACACACACACGCACACATTTCTTACACACCATTTAATCACACATGTGCAGCACTGACAGCTCGTTAATTTGACAGTCCACGAAGGCGTGAAGACCCCCACATCAATATACTCACGCTTACGCTGACGCTGACGTCCAGACCGCCAGATTAAAGAATTACACGCAGGCACACGAGTAACTACAATAGTTCATCATCGTGAATGATATGGAGTCAAAAATAAACCTCACACACACACACACACACACACAGTGTGTGTACAGAGGGACGTAAGGTCATCGGAAAGTCTACACGAAGCGTGTCAAAAAATCGCCTGAAAATGCTAACAGAAAAACGCCGCTGTGAATGTTGGCAGGGCTAGCGGCGACTCGGAGCCAGAATCGATGACAGAGCCTCCGCTATTTCCTGCGCTCAGAAGGAGCGGAGCGCGGGAGTGCGTCCAACAGCACAATAGGAGGAAGTGTGGAAATCTGTCCCTCCTCAGGTCGACTGGAGGGCCCCCGTTAAAGGGGGCCGTATGCTCCTGTTATGAGGGACATGAGTTCCCATGATGCACTGCTGCTCTGCGTCTTCCCGCCCCCCCCCCCCCCCCCCCCCCCCCCCCCCCCCGATGACCACGGTGGGTCAGCGCACAACACTTCTCTGTTTGGAGTTATGCCGCTACTAATACTACTCATAACTGTAATAATAGAGACTTTAATTATTTTGTAGAGTCACTGGTGTGTACAGCCTGTTAAATTAAAGATTACATTAGATGTGTACTATAATAACTATAACTATAATAACTATAATTACTATTAACATTACATTATTTAAGAAAATATTCTGTAAAATCAAATGACGCCTGCCACTGGCACTGCCATCTCGATGTTAGACCGCGCCCGGCTCATTTCTGACCAATCGGGGAATCTCGTTGCTGATTGGTTCAGCGAATCCACCTTGCCTGTCAATCACATGCGCGCGCACGCTAGAGAAATGTAGGGAGGGAGGGAGGGAGCAGAGAGGGAGTGGTGTGTTTTTTTTTGGTGATTCACCCGCTTTAAGCCGGCGCCGCCCTCTGCTTTTAATCTATTCAGTAGATCAACCTGGTTATTAGGGTGGAGGGTTTGATCGATGGGTCATCTCGGGTGGTGATTGAAGCGGACCCGCTGTCAGGACCAGGAGAAGCTGACCTTCTCCCTCCTTCTGCCACCATCACCTCAAATGATTCATCGATGTCATGACACACACACACACACACACACACGTATCACACATGTGCAGCCCAGCCAAGGCGAATAGCACCTCAGAAGGTCACGGTATGGAGAGACACTAGACACTCACACCTACCTCCACCCAATGCCAGCTCTCCTCCACACACACACACACACACACACACACACACACACACACACACACACACACACACACACCATGCACAGAGAGCAAGAGAGAGAGAGAGAGACAGAGACAGACAGAGACAGAGACAGACATGAATAAATAAATAAATAAATACATATGTGTATTATGCCTATTATATGCCTATTAGTGTTGTAAAACATTCCAACTAAAAGGCTTTTCTAGGTCACCATAGCTCTGGCAGAAGACCTACGGGGGTTTTTTTTCCACTCGGTTACGGTCAGATGAAACAAACTCATTCCTGATTTCTATGTACATGGGTGCCCCGGTAACAGGAGCTTCATTGTCCCTGATTGGTTGATTAGCGAAGGCCGGCTGACGACGTTAAACAATACACAAGCTAAACAGGTCAGACTCCTTGTGTGTGTGTGTGTGTGTGTGTGCGTGCGTGCGTGTGTGTGTGTGTGTGTGTGTGTGTGTGTGTGTGTGTGTGTGTGTGTGTGTGTGTGTGTGTGTGTGTGTGTGTGTGCGTGCGTGTGTGTGTGTGACAGTAAAAGCATCAGCTGGTTTAGTATGAGGAACTGAAGGGTTGGTTTACAGTGTACAGCGCATAGGAGTGTCATGGTTTCTCCATCACCACGCTAATGGAATCAGGAAGGCAGCAGCATTGTTGAGGCAACAAAGGCAAACGCCTAGTTTGAGGAAAAACACATTCTTAAATTTTTCATCTCCTTTTTGTTGCCCGGCGTGTCTCTTTCTGCTCCTGCCCTGAACTCGGGGGGAAACAAGTCGTCACCATGGGAAGGTCAAAGAAAGGCTGATGTGTTTGAACAAATACATCCTTGGTTAAATAGTATTATTTATAGCAAATAGTGAAATGGTAATCGTACATTTGACAAACAAAAAGCCACTAAATCCAAAAACAAATAGCTATTTATCTTGTGTAGCTTGTTTATTGAATATTAATATTTTACTGCCTACCTCATTTTATTTATGCACTATCGCACTTCTCGTTAGATGCTCAACTGCATTTTGTTGTCTAGTACTGGTACGATGGCGAAAAGAAAGTCGAATCTAATTGAACATAATCTGGTTCAGTTTATCTGTACAGCATGAAAGCAATATTTCATACACGTTTTCAGACATACATTTGTTCTTTTTTAAATCCCTGATCAGGCGTCCAGATGCGTTCCAGAGTAGCGGTGGAGGAGCGGCCAGAGGAGCGGCCCGAGGAGCGGCCCGAGCGTGACTGATCTGGTCTCTCCTAGTGGACGGCGAGCGCCGCTGCTCGCCGTCCGGGTACGCTGGGCACCTCGGGTCCCGGGAGTCCTGGAAGTCCTTGAACACAGGCAACCGGAGCGTGGCGCTTTCCCCCTTCCTCCTTGACCTTTACCCAGGCTGGGATGCACCAGGCCATTAAAGGCCTGGAGCGTTTCGCATTCTCTCCCTCTCTGACTCAATCTCTCTCTCTGGCTCTCTCTCTCTCTCTCTCTGCGTTGTGCACAGCTGATGAAATATTTAATGGAAACGGCTGCTGTAAGTGAATCGTGCCAATTTCCTCCTCCGTCTTCTCCCCAAGAAATAGGAAACAGGAGGAGTGTAGGTGGAGGAGGAGGAGGAGGAGGAAGAGCATGAGAAGGGCTTCGGAGGAGAGGGCTAGGAGGGGAGACTGGGAGTCCTCCGGTCTTCCTCATAATGGCAGTGTGATCTCACCTCACCTCACCTTTCCAAAAACGGAAACAATGGCCGACGGATGTTTGTGTGTTTTTCTTCCTGGTATTTTTCCTCCGGGAGCTTAATGGCGTGTATCAAAGAGAGAGAGGTATTCTCCGTCAGTGTGTACTGTTTACACTGTATCATAACCCCCACAACACACAATGGAGAGCTCAACAACAACATACCAGCCTTTCCTGTTACACCGAGCCAAACCTGGAAAAGGTAGTAATGTAAAAGGAGTAAATCGTCTTTATGAACGAGAATCCCTCATTGAGTCCATCGCGTGCAGGCAGAAATGAATCAGCCCTAACTATGAGCCATAACACCATTCAAAAACAGAAATAAACACCATTAAACTCCCATAATGCCTCCATAAGAATTTAAGTTAGAGGAATAAGCACCATGCGTGTTATTACACCAACGCTATGCCTTTCATGGTACAAAAGTATATCCAGGGGACCAGAAACACATAAGATAAGATAAGATAAGATAAGATAGACTTGCTGTTAAGTGCATACACAGCCTGTCCCCCACAAATGGGCCACTACTGTGTGTAGGAAGTAGGTTACCTCTGACCAACATCTCATGAATTATTCCTGTTCCAAAGCCTGAACAGAAACCAGTTCATAGCCTATACCAGCTGGTTCAAATACCTTCAGTATGCAAAACATGCTTCCTAGTAGTGATGCATCACACGCCCTTAAAAGGGCCCCTATTTTACCACCAGGTTTGATGTTGATTAGCCATTACAAGCCATGTCAAAACCAACTCTCTAGTGACATCACAAGCGCACCACCCAAATGTATGATGGCTAGATCAGTCTACCAGTACTTTGACATGGCTTGTAATGGCTAATCAACGTCCCACCTGGTCGTACAACAGGGGCCCTTTAAACTTAAAAGCAAACGCAGGCTTTGAGATTTGATTGACACCATTCACTGCGATCCTGATCAATCTCTAACCGCCGCTGTTGATTGGATGTCAGGTTTTCCCGTATAGTGGCTATGAGAGGCGTGGCCAATGGGGTCTATCGGTGTATCAAAGGAAGGAAGTTGGAGTGACAATAAAAGCCAACCGGCTTTGTGGTCAACATGTTATATATGGTGCTGTACAATGCATTGGCCAGCCATTGTATTCAGGGACATTTAGATTTTGATTATTATTTAACCAGGAAGTCCCTTGAGATAAAAATCTATTTTTCGAGGGAGACCTGGCCAAGACAGCACACCAGTACAAGTACATGCTTACAAAATTATAGAATAGAGCATGTCAAAGCAGACAACAAACAATTAAGGACAATAGAGCAGGATAAACAGACAACAGATACATACTACAAAATCCAGCTTCGGAATAGCTACTGCACCGTTCAGTCACACTGTTTTTTATCAGTGCTTTGAACTCTCCCAGGATGACAAAATCATGAGGCTGTAGTGTGTACTGGGGGTTAATCCTGTAGTGTGTACTGGAGGTTGTTCCTGCAGTGTGTACTCGAAGTTATTCCATCATCTAGTGGAGCGAAAATC